GAAATTACTATTTATCGACAACCTTTGTGCGACGCTGGTGTGACCTTGAGATTGTGCACCTAGTAACTATGACGAAATGAAGGTTATGAATCTGTATGAGGAATTAGAATTATGAATTACAGTTAATAGTTAAGGTTAGGCATTAGATTTATGGTCATTTATCACATCAGCTAAGATGCCAAAATGCTATTTCATCTAATGTATGAATGAATTTCGCGCCAAAATCGAAGACCTGATACCTTAAATCTGACTGGTTAGTTCATAAATTGTAGTCTCGCTATTGAAACTGATATTTTTAAAACAACATAAGACAACAATAGAACGAAATAACCGTCCATTGCTTCCAAGTTTCAATGGTGGTTTAATATCAGTCGATTTATGATCTTGATCAAAGAACATCATCATCTCCACAATCTCATACTGATATTTCATTTAATGAGTAAACCAACTGTATTAAAAGAATAATTTTTCCTTATTTTTCATTAGTTTGGTTACAAATCTTATGAATTATAAACTTACTGCCATGGTGATGGTGTTCTGAAAATTAAAAAAAAGTGTTTTATATATATATCAAAGATCATAAATAGTTGCTATGGTGACAAAATATTTTAGATCCAATAGACAGATGAATTCTTCTAGTCATAGATTCCAGAGTGCCCCATGTACTGTTACATAATCAGAACATCATTAGATGAAGATAATTGGGACTGCTTTTTAACTTGTGTGTAATGATAGTATATTTCATATCATAAAGTCTGTTATACCCGATAAGAGTAGTGAATAGTAACTTTTGGGAACCATTTATAGACCAATACTATACGTATACTTTATCATACCATTGTTAAGTAACTAAACTATTCATATTCGTGTCCATCTTAATATGAGCTTTATTTTCACCTATGAACTGTTATTATACGATTTACCATTCTTGAATTATGCCCAGTCTATTAATTACTATTTCCCACATTCACAGCCACATTTGGCTAAATCTTGTAAAAATGTTGTTTCCTATTTTATGGCACGATGTAGTCTGTTTGGTTGGTATATAAGCCCAGTATGTTTAAAATAAAGGATTGATATCGCAGAGGCTGAGATTGGTGTTCTGGACTCAACTGGCTAGGCTAGAAAGGGAAGAAGGACCGATCAGGACTCTAGACTGCTCGTCCTCGTTTTATGAGTCATTGGTTTGGTCGATAGTTCACTGTTCTCTAATTGGCGGTATCATCACATTATACATTGGTAGACGTACAAACCAACAAGTTTTAACAAAGTCAAACTAATCTTTGTATACACAGTGTTTAAAGATACTTTAAAGATATAAATATGTATGTACATGTATTAACAGTGATAGTTAATATTCAAAGAAATCGGGCTCTTTATGAAGTCCCTTTTTTCCGCGTATTCATGACATTCATATTATCTCAGTCATTTTGAGAAATAATCAGAATATCAATGAACGGACTTACGTTTCAGTAGTTTCTGCTTTTAGAAGAAGTGGTAACTGACTGATTAGCACTGTATTCATGATTTGATCTCACTTAGAATACTACGGAAAACCTGAAAGAATTAAATGGCTGTTTCGTCCAAGTATTAGGATGCTTCAACAGTGCATATTCATGATCTCGTACACAGGACTTGAACGCAAATCATGAGATTACAAATAACTCAAAGAAATAAACCTGAAAATAGATACAAAGATGGATAGTAGCTAGCAGTGGAATGCAAGACACGCGTTTCGTCCTGATGGTACACGTCAGCCTCATGTATCTGCTCCTCAGTGTTGTTGTTCACTCTGTACAATTCACTTCAAACGCCATCACTCATTCCTGATATCCACTTGATTATGCAATAAGATGAAGATTTAAATTGTATGCACATAAAGCAATAAGAGACTGATCGATTGAAGTCTTATACATCAATGAGAAGATTCAAACAAACAATGTTGTTACTAACTAGACTTACCACTTTCAGTCTGTGCGGACTGAAATGTTTGAAATACAAGAAGTAAACCAAATACAACGATAATCATCATTTCAAGTAATGGTTAATTGAACTAGAAGCATTTCTTTTAAATGTCAAGATTTATATATCACTAATTATTCAATTCATTCAAATTGGTTATCAATAACCATCTTATTAAACTAGTCAGGTATATGATTAGCTTATGTAACAGACTTAGTAAATATGATAGTTTATCTGACATATACTGCACATTAGTAAAGGTATATTCATGTATTATACATTAGGTGGATGTATATAATTGTATATTGGGTGGTGTAGTAAACAGTTCTTTCTAAGCTATGACTATTCTTCTCTGTTTTGTTTGGAAAACAAAAGTATTTCACTTCAATTAATCATGACAATCCATCAATCAAACTGACAAATGTTTGTTATGAATCTTCGTGCTTTCAAATACCTTGGTACAACCAGGAGTGCTCTCACATGGCTACGCGTATACAGTCACTGTCGGGGAAGTCATACTCGCTGTCTTCTCGAGGCAAGGGTGTTGTTTACGAAATGTTTGGCGTTTTAACTGTGTTAGTGGACGTGGAAGCTTTACCTTAGAAAATTGGAGAACACTGATTTTAAACCAATGGTACACAAATTGTTGGTCACCAGTTACCTTTACGTCGAAGGCTCCAGGTGTGGCCCTCTAAAAATACTACCTGCTTCGGTCAGGGCAGCCGGGTAGTATAACTATCCACATACAAATCAAATGACTTGAGTTGGCGCATACGTATTCAATGCTTCTTTATATCAATATTTATGTGTTTAAATAAATAGGTAAATCTCCGTAGTGTTCATGATACAAATTGACCTCACTAATGATCTAAGCTATCTAACTACTGAAAAATGTTTATGTTCATAATTAAAGATTCATTCAATGATTAACAGCTATCATAACGAAACAGCTTAGTGTATTATTTAAGTGAGATTATTATTCGTGGAAACTAATTTCTTGTTAGGGATGCTACCCCTAACTCAGGGTCTGAAAAGTCGGAAAAATGAGAATTTCGCAAATGCGATCAAAAGGATCTTGGTGGTCTAGTCATAGTATTCCGACTCTAGATAATGGGTTTTAAGCGTTATTTAAGCCCTAACGCTTCAGGCTAGGCTATTTCGCTTACTACTCTACATGTGTGCTATATGCAGTATAAACTATATGGCTATGTAGAGTTGAAGGTCTCATATGATACTGAAGGTTCACCATTGATATTGTGGATAGTTCAACATTACTTTGGCAAGTTTTACTGACTATTCATCCACAAAACTGGTTTGCCAGTTAACCGACTTCATTCATACTGGTGGTTGCTTTCAAGTATTCTCAAGGGCCATTGTCATTGGGATATTGTAAGGCATGTCACGATTGCTAACATTAATGAGTTTGACTGTCGTGTAAGCGGAATAAGTCAAATGGGACAAATAAAAGTGAACAAGAACATTCCAGAAATAGGCAAACTAAATAAATGAAAATAAAAAGTTATTTTAAAATAGAATTAAGACAGAAGATCAGTATATACATACATATTATTGATCAATAGAGTATCCGTATAGATCTTAGCAACAATCGTATTCTGTCCACCAAGTTGCGATGTGCTCTGTGGTCAAAATGACTTGACATTCAGTGCACTATGTTGAGATTTCAGTTGGTTGAAGGTAGTCAACAAATAAGCCTGGGCATAAGCTTCACTTCAGTTGGGATTCTTTAGTCGGACTACCTGCAATCGTAAGGGAATTGATAATTCTCTATCTTGTATAAGCCTAACCAAACCCTAAGCTCATTAATAGTGACTGTCAAGGTGATTGACGTTGGTTCATAATCGACAGGGAACATCAATTTCTTCGCATATTTTATTTATATTATGCTGATGAGTGTCAAGCAGAGCAGAATTATAGTCTACGAATGACTACGTTCAACCACTCACCAGACTATTTTTTTATTTCGATTGTATTAGGTGTTATAACAATCCTGGATGTAAATAGTAATGTAGTCTATGACATCGGATCGACTGTTATATTATATGATGATTGACAAAGTAAGTACACTATTTCTGCAGTCGAACAATATATGGAACTCAAAATAATCATCAACCAATTTCGTAGCCAGAATCTTCAATACGAACATCAAGACATTCTTACTGTACAGAGCTGAAAAGTGGAGAACTAAAACAACCATCATCAAGAAGGTATAAGTATTTATAAGCAACTGTGTATGTGAGATTCTCAACATCCCATTGGCCAGATACCATCAGCAACAGCCTTCTGTGAGAGAGAACAAACCAGCTCCCAGCTGAAGAGGAAATTAGGAAAAGAGGATAAATACATTACGCAAATCATCAAACTGCATAACGAGACAAGCCCTAACTTGGAATCCTGAAGGGAAGCGGAAAAGTGGAAGGCCAAAGAATACATTACGTCGGGAAATAGAAGCAGATATGAAACGATGAATAGCAACTGGCAAGAACTGGGATGGTATGCTCAGGACAGGGTTGTATAAAGAATGCTGGTGATCGGCCTATGCTCCTATACTTGGGGTAACAGGAGTAAGTAAGTATGCAAGTATGCTTTAAATTTGTTTGTTATGACAACTCAGTTAAACTAACACAGGATTATTCACTGATGAATCACCACTTAATGTCAAGATCCCTTTTTTTCAAATCCTTGAAGGGTTTTAGATACGCACGACTAAACAGACTTATACTAGCGTGAAACAACTATCTGATACTTTGTTTTTCAGCTTAACTCCGACATTAACAATCATCAATGTCTCTATCGATCATTATTATTATTATTATTATTTATCAATCATTATCAGTGTTTTGTAAAGGATAATGAATGTTTTCTAACATCTCTGTTAGACATACAGAATTGTACTGACTGACATACACAATAGAATGAAGAGACATCTATTCTGTTTGAATTGATTCATTGAAAATACACATACTTAATTTAATGTATTTAAGTAGTTTACAAGTTTATACTTGTATTGAATTGAAGTAATGATTTCTTTCATTATAACTTTATTCCTTCTAATACAATCATGTAATTCTGGTTCATCATCATCTAAGTGTAAAAGCATGTTCTACTGTTGAATATTTACATCCATGCTATTATAATCAGATTGATTTATGCTATGATACTTGAGATGGTGGAGAAAATTTGTAGCTTAGGTGGATGATTTTGATGGCGTTTTGTTCTCTGAGTTGGATGGTTTAGTCGTGGAGCTTTCATCGTTCTTCTGAATGACATCATCAGCACAAACTTCAGGTAGAAGTCTTTTACCTGACTTCTACCTGAAGTTTTTTGCTGATGATACTCCACGACAAAAACCATCCAGTTCAGAGAACGAAACACCATCAAAAAGCTATGATACTTACTAATCCATTTCAACTGCTAAAATTACTGAACCCCTATATCATTAACATATGAAATCAACAATCTTATTTGATGACAGAAGAGCAGTAAGTTAATTTGTTGATATTCTACACTCCACTTTGATTAAAAGTTGAATATACTAAAAAGTATTATGTTCTTGATTGGGATTATGAATCGATTAATGTTGGATCACCATTGTAAACTTGGAAGCACCAGACGGTTGTCTCGTCCTATTTTGTGACTCCTCAGTAGTGTTCATCCACGATCACACTTGCAGGACTCGAACGTAGGGCATTTGGTCTTGCAAACGAACACTTAACCTCTAGACCACTGAACCGGCCGACATATCTGACGTTAACAAATTCACGGAATTGTGCGATCTGTCTCTGTCTTACACAGAATAGCTACACTGATTGCAATTTCTCACGAGAATTCCCTTACGAAGCTAGTCACAAGTGAGTTTTTCTACTCAATAATTCATATGTATCCCTTTGACACTTTGACTTCATCGATTTCGGAATAATTTACCTATTGTGCACCATCATTCTACATACTTTGATATAATTGAGTTCTCAATTTATATGTATTAAAGTTGACTTCATGCGTTGATCTAAGCTGGAACACTATCAAAAACATGGAAGCATAGTATAGCTGTTTTGTCTTAGTATGGATCTTTTCAAAAGCGCGTACTCACTATCCTACACGCACGACTCAAACCCATGGCTTTTGATCTCACGCGCGAACCCTTAACCTATAGACCACTGAGTCAGCATCCAACAATGTTAATGTCTAACTCCACTTGACTCATAATCTTGCACAACTTTCCATCCATTATATAAGGTGGAAATGTATATCAACTGAAGACTAGAAAATGTTTTAATATACACTTAATCATAATATCATTTTTGTGTAAACTTTCTAATATATGAATAACATTGATACAGATATATTACATCATCATGGTATAGTTTCTTATATTGATTACCTATCTACATTTCTTTGAGAAGATCCTTTGGGTAAGTAACCGAATTTGTGTTTAGAAGAAATGTAGGGTGTAAATGATTTGAAGACTGGAATATTAATGAAATCAAAATTTCAGTAGTTGAGATCATGGGTCACTTGAAGTTAGACTAAAATGCAGAACCAGGAAGCACTGGGTGGCCGTTTCTTCCTGGTATGGGACTCCACAGCAGTGCGCATTCACGATGTTGACTCGCGAGACTCGAACCCGGGAAATATCAGTCCCATGTGCGAGCGCTTAATCATTGGACCACTGAGCCAATCACCATCCATCGGTGTTAATGTCTAACTTCAACTAATCCACGAAATTGAGCGACACATCCACCATTGAATGAAATGGTCGTCCAGTGATTCCAGGTTTTCCATGGTGGTCTAGCTTCAATTGACTCATGATGTCAACCATTGAAATTACTATCACATTCACAAAATCTCTTTTGATACAAATAAAAATTATGCAGCTAACTGTATTCATTGTGTATGGTTTGGAATGGATATAAATTACTTTGTTCCTATACTGTTATAGTTAATGGGAGTATTAATATTAATGTTAAACTGTTCTGTTTATGGTAGAAAATTCTGGTCAATATTGGAGTAAGTCACTTGTCAAGCTAATTACTTGATCATATGTCAATTAACATTTTACTTATATGTATGAAATCTCATGACAATCGATCTATATTTTTTATCAAGCCGTGACTAGTGGAGATCTACCATGTCGGTTGTAAGGCAAAAGATGATTGTTCAATATAGTGGATTGATTGAAGTGAGACATACACACCGTTGGACTTCTGGTTAGGAGTTTATAGGTTAGACGTTGGTGAGTGAGACTGAAGGTCCTGGGTTGGAATCCCGTGTGCAGGACTGTGTAGATGTACTGCTGAAGAGTCCCATACTAGAACGAAATGGTTGTCCAGTGTTTCCAGGGTTTCAATGGTGATTTAGCTTAAATAAACTCATGAATTCAATTATGATAATCAAATAATTGTTTCATGCAACTTCACGTTCCTTTTGTTTAAAAAAACTAGGTTTGCAACTTGGTCGATAGAATTTGATCTGCATTAAGAAGGACCTGACATACATGATGTTGATCAACAGTCAGTGATCGATCAATTGTGAATACATCTCAGTCTTACAAGAGGTCAGTTGCTGCCCGAATAGCACATTGCTAATAGCTCTGACTGTGAGGCTGAGTGACATGAGATTGAATCAATCAGGCAGCATTAGTCCTCTCAAGATTACAGGTACACCTTGCTGACGAGTGCCAAGTAGTACGAAACCTGGTTCCATGGTTTCCTGTTGAATGTCTCCAACCACCATGTTATCTCAATATAGTGCAAACAATGTCTAGTCACCTAGACTAGTGGTTGCATCGCAATTTAATCGATGGGATTCGACCTGCACTAAGAAGGATTATACATACATGACAGTGATCACCACTTAGTGATCAATCAATTGACAACATTTTAGATTGATTATTCAATTCTCATTACAGAAACCAAATTTCATTTTATCATTCGACAATATTTATTATTATGACTGAATGATTCCATTTTGTTCATTCACACAACAGAACGCTTATTGGATTCATTTGGTAAGTTGACTTATAGTTGTCAGATCACTATTCACAAAGGTTAATGCTTGTTAACATTGTTAATATGTAAATGATTTTATAATATACCATTGAATATATACTGATATCGTTTAGACATTATGGTGAGACTATAATTTACAGACGACCTTCGAGTGACGCTAAACTGACTTTGAGAGTGTTCACTTAATAACTAGGATGAAGTAAGGTTAGATGGTGGTTGGAGGTAGTCGACAAGAAACAGTGATTCCAGAGTGTCGAGTTACCTAGACTGGTGACCACATTCCAACATGGAGGATAGCATTCGATCTGCACTAAATAAGGACTTGACACACATGACATTGATCACCACCCAGTGATCAATCAATTGTGATTAGGATCAAATAAGTGTGATCAACCTTTATAGGGGATTCGAATGATGATTTACAGTTGATGGTTAAGGTTAGGAAATTAGATTTACGGTTTGTTATCATGAACTGACATTAACTCTAATGCCAAGATGCTATTAAACCAAATGGATGAATGAATTTGGCGCCAAAATCCAAGACTTGTTATCTTAAATCTGATTGGTTCGTTCATAAGTTCTTATTGTTTCAACTGATTTGTCAACATATAAATCCATTGAATATGGGAAATTCATTTAAGTTTTGTTTTAAATCATGTATATTTATGAAGTACACTAAATGGAATATGGTAAGATCATTGTACATTATACATTATACTTAATCTAATATTAACCATTCTAGGAGTTACTTTGTGACGCTCAATCTCGTGGATTAGTTGAAGTTAGACATTAACACTGTTGGATGCCTGCTCAGTGGTCTAGGGGTTAACCATTCGCGCGTGAAACCAGTAGGTCGTGGATTCGAGTCTCGCAGGGGGCGAGGTTGTTTATGTGCACTGCTGAGGAGTCCCGTAATAGGAATAAATGGCCGTCCAGTTCTTCCAGGTTTTCGATGGTGGTTTAGCTTCAACTGACTCATGATCTTAACCATTGAAGTTACTTTTTCATTAGGTATATTTCAAACATTGATGTGACAGATCATTATTTTGATTTTAACGGGGTATTACACTAATAAGACAATATGACTGGTTGATGAGTTCATATTGTTGGTAGATTGGATACTCTAATTGTATGTTATATACAACTACATTATAGTAGAGACACCCGATTCAGGACCAAATACAGGGAACCAGTATAAATGCTAGACAATACTTAATACTACTTAGTCGCAGGCAGTTACTCTCAATCAGTTCAGAGTAAAGATTTTTAACGGAATAACAAATCAGCGTTTCAATAATCTGTTCGTTCACACTCGATGACCATTCACATATACTTCCGCTACCATACACCAAATAGGCACAGATATATGCCCATTGCAGTGTCATCCATGTCGTGTGTGAGATAGTTATCCGTCTCAGGCAGTACAAGATCTTAGACTGATTGAAGTTAGATATTAACATCACTGGATTGTACATCAGTGACTTAGGGGTAAAATATTCGCGCACACTACCGGGGGTCCTTTGTTCAAGTCCCAAATGTGGGACCACAGATGCGCACTTCTGAGCCCTACACTAATATAACACGACCATCTAGTGCTTCCAGGTCTTCACTATTGATGTGTGACATTCATACCGTTGAGTGGCAACTCAATGATCTACAGGTTAAGTATTCACATTCAATCTCGAAGGTCCTAGGTTCTATTCTTTCAAACGGAATCGTTGACGCACATTTGTTAGGATTACTATTCTAAGATGAAATTGCCCACTAACCCAACCAGGTTTATAGTGGTGAATCGGCTCAAATCGACTTATGATTTCAATTGCGTAACTTCATCTAAATAAACCGTGTAAAACACTTCAATCGATTCTTGAATGAACATCAGCTAAATGGTGCTATGATAGAACTTACCAACGGATAATATAGTCGTAAATGTTTATACAATCAAGGCAAACTAACCAGTGTTAACTGAGTATCGTTGGGATTAGTTTACATTTTCATTTTATTTACTTATACATTGTCAATCGTCTTATTTTCATATTTTAGGAACACAGTTGAACATTGGTTGGGAGCAATTAGGAACGTTACAAATATTAGTCAAGTACAGAGATGAGGCGCAAATATTCAAACCAAATTATGTACTCAGTTATATTTTCAAAATTATTAAACAACGTTTAAAGTTATGTAACGCTTTCTTAACACAATTACATCATATAGGGGTCAATTGAAGCTAGACCACAATGAAAAACCTGGAAGCACTGGATAGATGTTGTGTTCTAGTAGTGCGTATCCACGATCCCACCTTGTAAGATTCGAACCCAGGACCAATCGGTCTCGTGCATGAACGCTTCACCTCTAGACTAAAATTAAATCAATTTTGTTTGTTTGTGTAAACAGTATACATAGCTAATATCTAAACTATAATTTAAACAGCTTCCTTAGAAGTAGTTGATTTTCTTTGATGGACTCCGCTTTTCATGAGACGTTTACTGAATTAGTATAAACTATAGGTCAAGATGAATGTCTTTAATGGAGTTTGTTCTTTAAGCTGAATGGTTGAGTCACAGAGCTTTCATTGTTCTTCTGAGCAACATCATCAGCACAAACTTTAAGTAGAAGTGAAATGTTCGAATCTCTTCACATGTAACTCATAGCTTATCCTGTAGATCTCGATCTTGATTGATTTCTGCTGAACTTTAATCTGTCATTGTTAACTTCTTTATTTTGATTGTATCTCTGATTGATTTGATTCTTGGTCCTATATTTGTCTATAGATTTGATTGACTTTAATGTTTTTTATTGATTGTTGACTGATATGAGTTCCAAGCTTCTAAAAATTCTATGGTGTTTCCAATATTTTTCCAGTCGAATGTGTGTCCACAGTTATCCGCGTGTATTGATATAAGTGATGACATGTCATGACATTTGACCACTAAATGATGTTTATGCAGGCGAAGATGAATAGAGCGTCCGCTTTGTACGATGTAGTGTTTTTCGCAGTTGTATGCAACATCTACTCCGAATGCTTTCAACAATCTCGTTGTAGTTTGTGAAATGCATTTTAGAAATTTGTCACTCAGATCCATCAGCAATCACAGTGAAATTGATTCAATTCATCAACCAATCAGGAAATTTATGAACAAACATAGGACTGAAAATCGAACCATTAGGAGATACAACTTGTAAAAAGAAGTAAACAGTGACAGGTTTAAAGTCGACAAAAACTAGTCAACATCGATGTCTACAAGACAAGTCAATATTTGGAGAAATTCGAACACTTCACTTTGATCTGAAGTTTTTTTCTTGATGATGTCGTTCTAAAGAACGATGAAAGCTCCATGACAAAACCATCCAGCTCAGATGAAATAAAAACTCCATCAAAATCACCCACTTGAGCTACAAATCATGTACACCATTTCAAAATGAATATCAACATATTAAAGACAAGCTCTTTCAATGTGTCCTGCATAGTAATAGATTACATAATATGCCAACCGCTCCCTTTAAAAATTCAATAACTTCCATCTTGTAAATGAGATCTAGCAGTTTAACATTTGGGTGTAATTATTCACTGAGTATTTATGAAGGAAATAACAACCACGAAAATATACACTACTTACTATTGATTTGCTTGATAAGAGTCATAAACAACACCCCTAAAGATTCATAACATATATTTATAATAATAAGCTAAACTGATGTTTTATATGTGAGAACAATCTATACACGAAGGTTTCAATAGTTAGTGTCATTTGTAATCAAATACTTAATAAAATGACTATCACGATCATAAAGATTGATATCAATTGTTGGATGCTGATTCAGTGGTCTAGTGGTTAAGCGTTCGTGTGAGGTTGTAGGTAAGCACCACTCAAGGGTATCATATCAGGACAAAACAAACGTCCAGTATATCTAGATTTTCAATGATCATCTAGCATCGATCGATTCATGATCTCGATCAAAAACAAAATTTGATATGAAAACTTGATTGTAAGTAAAATATTTATTTTAAATGAAAGTAATGAGGAAGACGATCAATCAGTGTTATCTTTGGTCAAGTAATGGTTCAGTAATTCACGATGTATTCAATGAAAACATGATGAGATTACATTCAATAAATGAACCAATCAGATATAAAAGAACTGCATCATGAATTTTGGCACGAAATTCATTCACCCATTTGGCTAAATATCGTCTTGACATTTTAGCCGATGTCATTTCGTGATGAAAAAACCGCAAATCTAATTCCTGACATTAACTATCAACTGTAAATCATAATGCTTATTTTTCAAACTGCTTTATAATTGTCATTTAGCCGTAGTAAGTAGGTTGACACCCTCAATGTCACAATAGCGTCACTCGAAAGACGTCCATAAATTATCGTCCCCATAGCAACTGGAAACAACTAGAAAGGATTACCCATGACAGAGTTCGATGAAGAATCCTCTTAGGTGACTTATTTTCTTAGACAAGATGTTACAGTTGTAATTAAGTAAGTAATAAGTTCCTACTCAGTGTACAGGGTTCGGTCGTGTGTACTTGATGCAAACTAGAGCATTATACATTCACAGTAATGATTTGAAATTCTATATCACATTAATAGTATGCTCTCAGATGTGTTCATTATATTATTAATTGATAAGTTAACCATGATACTGACGTAATACATTACTTACATTATTATGCCAAATGGTATGTAATATTTGAACTCGTCACTGTACATCAACTTCATTGATTATGAAAAAGCATTTGGTAATGTAGATAGAAGATTGTTATGGAAACTTCTTCGACACTACGGAGTTCCTGAGAAGATTGTCAATATTATCCGGAACTCATACGACGGACCAATGTACAAAGTAGTGCATGGAAGACGGCTGACAGATGCATTCCAAGTAAGGACCGGGGTCAGACAAGGCTGTCTACTCTCTTTCTTCCTCTTTCTTCTGGTGGTCGACTGGATTATGATGACCTCGACATCTGAGGAGAAACAAGGCATACAATGAACAGCTCAGGACCAATTAGAAGATTTGGACTTGGAAGATGACCTAGCTCTCCTATCGCATACACATGAACAAATGCAGGTAAAGACAGCCAGTGTAGAAGCAGTCTCTGGAAGATGTAGAATCTTTCACATACCTCAAAACCATCATCGATGAACAAGGATTTTCAGATGCAGACGTAAACGTGAGGACTGACAAAGAAAGGGCCGCATTACTTTAATTGAGAAACATATGAAACTCGAAATATCTTTCAGCCAATATCAAAGTCAGAATCTTCAATACGAACGTCAAGACAGTCTTACTGTACGGAGATGAAACATGGAGAACAACAACAACATAGTTGGATGGAGAATGCTGGTGATCGGCCTATGCTCCTTCACGAGGAGTACCAAGCGTTAGTAAGTGTGTACTGTTTGAGTAATAGCTATAATTATTGCATAAGGGCATAATATATGATGCAATCAACAAAGAATTTATTTTAATGATAGTCTTTATGAAAGATGAGAATAAATAAACCTACAAAATTTGTGTAAAGGTATTATAGATCACCAACGTATATGATCAACATCGAATGATTGGGGGCCAACTGGAGTTAGACTGACCAAAAGCTAACTTCGAACTCAGATCTCGTGGTGAGCATCTCACGTGGATTAATCCTATGGCTGTTTTGAAGACCACGGAACACAAAGGTAGCTAGTGTGGAATTATATTGGTAGGAATAAGTACAAGCGAATATGAAACCACCACCACATGGGCCAGTCTATGGCGTATGAATAACTGATGCGCGTTGATTGTTCCTGACCTTGACGACGATCAGTGATCTGTTCGATGCTCCGTGATCCAGCTCTCGGATGATTTGGCTCGGGCTCAGTGACATTTCACTGGCGCTATAGTGTAGTTTCTTTCATTTAATGACTGGAAATCATTAACTAAACTTGTATTTTTGATGGTAGGGTGTGATAATACATGTGCTCATTAGTGACCAGCTTTGTGAGGGAATTCTCAGAGTTCTCATGAGAAACCGCGACTAGTGGAGCTATTTCATGTTAGATAGAGACAGGTTTCTACCTCAGTACAATGGAAGATATCCGCCGATTTTCGTGGATTATTTGAGGTTAGACATTAACACTTTTGGATACCAGCCGGTTCACTGGTCTGGAGGTTAGGCTTTAGCATGTGAGACTAATAGGTCTTGGGTTCGAGTTCTGGGGGTGGGATCGGGAGTACACACTTCAGAGGAGTTCTGTAATCGGACGAAACTGTCATCCAGTGCTTTCAGGTTTTTAATGGTGGTCTAACATTAATCGATTCATGATCTCAATAAAAAAAGAATGCATGTAATGTTTCGTTGAAGACTGTTTGCTTATCATAATCTATTTGTCACTAAGGCATTCAGTGTTGATGTGTAAATATCTAGGTCAAATGATAGTGTTTCACCGAAATTATCTTCAAGTGTCAAAGCTGTTGCTACATTCAACGTTAACTAGGCTGTTAATTATAATGTCTATTTGAATATGCTATTAGATGATGATCACTCCTTGTTGAATTCAAAGTTGGCAGTTCGATGAACACATATAGTAAGCATATATACATATACTAATAAATTATTTCACACTTCCATTATGATGCATATTACTATCCCCTCATGGACTTTATATTGGAGAAAAATAGATGTTTTCGGAAACGTTCGAAATATAGTGCTGGCTACTTATATTATAAGTTAGTAGTATATAACATATTAGTTAATTATTATTGCTATCAGTGGCTTTATTCAACATAATAAGTTTGGTATGGTATAAAATTCACAGCAAGTAGTATTTTAACAAGTTCCCTTTACCTATTTCTTGATCGACACTGACGATCAATATTGAGTGGTCGCCGGTTAGATGTTAGCATTTCAGGAATCGTCATCTGATTAATGTATATTGATTCCGATACATATTGCCGGCAACCACAATGTCTTTGATTGTGCTCCTTTGTAACTCGTATAAGCGACGTGTCGTAAACGTTTAACAAACGAACTTGAATGGATTATGCGGCCAACGGGCACAATGATTTGTTAAAACAAACAAGCAAGCAGGTTATTTTTTTGAAATATGTGGATGGGAGGAAC